TGATAAAAATGGAAGGAGCACAGGTGGCTAAGTATCCTTTGACCAAAAACGGTCAACAGTAATGACATTGCTTTTAAACATTTGAATTGTTCAGGACTTAACCCCTAAGATGCTAAAAATATCTGTCTCATAAACCTTCAAATAAAGCCTTTTGAGATTTTGGGAAAGATTTTGCTCCATTCTCCTGCTCCGTAACTAACACCTGAGGAAATAAGTGTCAGGGTTGCTGCTAATTAGGCGATTGACTCTCTTCCCCTGTAACTAGCTCTTAAGAAAGGACCACAGATTTCACAGGTGGGGGCTGGCAACAATAGGAGATTTTGCGCTTCATCACAGATCAGTAAAAAAGGAGGGAGAGCTATTAAAATGCTAATACTCATTAATACGGTTTTCTGGTGTTTAACTTTAAACACAGAAAATAAAGATGAGTGACAGCCAGTCAAATGGGAGTGACATTTGCAGTAAAAACATCCCAGGCCAGCAAGTAACAGTGCAGGGAAGTATAAGCATCCATCCCTGCTGGGGGTCAGGCCAAAGAGCTAGATACTGTCACCTCCCTTAATACATTTTGAGGGCTGTAGGCAAAGCAGACCATCCAAGAGTGATCATTGTGACGTGCGATTTTGGAATAGCTAGTTAATAGGTAATTTTTGTAGTGACAGAGTCCTGGATTTCCTTGTTCTGTGTCTTCATTTTGCAAGCTAACATTACATATTTTATTTGAATAGTAGGCATATCATCCTTTTTATTAAAACATTAATGAAGCTTCAGATATGATGAAATGAGTGGGCAAGCTTACATTACTCTTGTCGTCAGATTTTAAAAGTTAGTATAGTCAGCCCAACTTGAATCATTTTATATTCAGATTAGAAATTGTGCTATTAGAAGTATATTATGTTTTACTTAATTAGGCTTTTGTATATAATTGTTCTTAGTCTTTTAAAATGAGACCTCCTCCCATCATAGGTATGTTAAAATATATCAGCATAAATTACAATTACATTATACTATTATTGTGTAAAATTCAAAGGTATCAGCAATCCTCACTAGAAGGTTGTTTAACAAGATATAATCCTACCTCTGAGGATGCTTGCCATAGATGCAGGCGAAATGTCAGGAGAAAAATTGCCTCCAGAACATGGCCATATAGCCCGGAAAAACCTACAACAACCCAGCTTGAAGGTAGTTAGGTTGTATACAACTGTCTTACGGTAATTAAATTCCAAGTACAAGGATTCATTTCATGCTATTTAAATATTTTATCTTTTTTATGTAATCCCGATTATTAATGCTAATTCAGCAGATTTGACTATATGATTCAGTATTGTAAGAGTTTTCATTGTTTATTTCACTTCTGTAATTTTTATTTTTATTTTAGCATATTAAATCATGAACTGCTTTAAATATACTGGCAGAAAGGCTTCATATAAATGCAATAAATAAATAGGCTAACAACACTGCTGTGAACCTGTTAGGTCCTGCAAACCTTGAGACTCTGAGTTGCCCCAGTGCCTCACTATCACTCATTGCAGAGATTTTAGAATCTTTGGCTGTGCCTCTCAGTACCTTCACAATAGTATTTACCACCAGCAACTGTCTCTACACAAGTGTCAAAAGAAACTGTAGGTAGCGTGCATTGCAGTAGTTCAATCAGGAAGTGTTATTGAAGTGACATGGACCTTTAGACACAGCTTTAAATTGGGAGGCATGCTCACACCAGATTCCTGCTTTGTCAGAGAGTATGCTTTATTATTATAGATGCAGGCGAAATGTCAGGAGAAATGCCTCTAGAACATGGTCCTATAGCCCGAAAAAACCCCACAAGAACCTAGTATGCTTTATTATTCAGGACATATCATCTGCTTCATCTCTGACCTGGAAACTGTGAATCCCATGTCAGGAAAACATTAGGTATATATTAATTAAAGAAGGTCAGTATTGTCTTTCTTCCAGCCTTGCATACTTTATCCTGATTCCAATGGAATTAAGTGATAGGGCATATTGATAATGCCATGCGCCAAATTCTCATATGAAACTGCTAGGGGTTGTTATATGAATCCTGTCCTAGGAATCAAGATGGAATATTATGTAGCCCCATAGAATATTTGCCACCGAGCTAAGCAAAAGTTTCCCAAAGCTACCTTCTGATATTCACGTGGATTTATATAATAACAATAGCACAGTTTCAGGATATTTTTCAGTCTCTTCAGTTTTGTCTGAGTCATAAAAAGGGTTCATGATGTTCCTGGCTACCTAATAAATCTAAATGCTGATTTTAACAAGAATGTATCAACATGAAACACTCTTCGCTAGAAATATTGCTTCCAATACCCATTCCATGCAGCCATTCCAGGAAGATTTGAAGGTCAAATCATGTTGAAGAGATCAAGGGAGTCCAAAGGTTGCACATCGCACTGCTCCCTTCTAAAGAAAATAATTGTTAATCTAAATTGTTAATCTAAAACTGTTAATCTAGCTGGACCATCCCATCCAAAGTGGAGGTTAAAGCTAGGAAATTGCATAGAGGCAAACAACTTCCTTCTTTTAGCTTCAGGTTTGTTCTTCAAATAAGCCCTAAAGTAAAAGCCTTTAAAATGTTATTCTGTACCTATGACACATTCCTGGTCCAATCTCCCTAATCTAGAAATCTAAAATCTTGCTAAATTTTGCTAAATCCATGTATTTTATTACCTACTGGAGTCCTGGAACCAAACCAGGGTGTTTGTTACCTATATGTATTGTTTTTCTGTTGTTTTTCTTTGTGGCTACATTTTTCTCTTCATGTAGGCAAAGTATTAAAAGTTCAGCTGGTTGGAGGGCCACATTTGCTGTTATAATTTTCCTTCTGATTAACCTCTATCACTTGTTAATCCTTCTGTCAATCCCCAAAACGTGGGTCAACCTATCCATGGGTCAGTACTGAACCTTAACTCTTCTCAAAGAAGAAATTACCTACTTCTCTGAATAGAGTGGTGAAAAATGAGAACTTAGTTTCTTTCAGTAGAACCTAAAAGAAGAACTGACCCCTTTATCCTCTCAACTACAACATCGCTTCTAGCCTTTTTTGAATGCCTGGGCAGGAAAACAGCAACAACAATAGCCAGTTCCCAAAGAAATGTGATTTTCTTTCTTCAGTATGCCTTAACTTATGCACAACAAATCATATCAAAATCCATAATATTGGTACCAAAACCTATGCTCAGCTTATACATGATGTCAACTTATATAAGAACAGACAAGCATCCCGAGCTCTGAGGATTACCTGGGAAGGAATCCCACTGGAGCATTGCAGCGCACCCAAATACCTAGGAGTCACTCTGGACCGTTCTCGGACCTACAAGAAGCACTGCCTGAACATCAAACAAAAAGTGGGTGCTAGAAACAATATCATACGAAAGCTGACTGGCACAACCTGGGGATCACAACCGGATACAGTGAGGACATCTGCCCTTGCGCTATGCTACTCTGCTGCTGAGTATGCATGCCCATTGTGGAACACATCTCACCACACTAAAATAGTGGATGTGGCTCTTAATGAGACATGCCACATTATCACAGGGTGTCTGCGCCCTACACCACTGGAGAAATTACACTGCTTAGCCGGTATATGGCGGCATATAAGTTCAAATAATAAATAAATAAATAAATAAATAAATAAATGAGTAATATACAGTCGTTTTTGGGACTGTCCCATATTTTCACTGTAGGCCAACATAAATATGAATGGTTAGCATTCACGTGTGATTATGGTGTTTTTCCTTACAAGTTGTGTGGTAGTTAGGAATTAGCTGAGCAGTGCCATTTCTCAAAAGATGCTGAGATACAGTTGTTTGCAAGACAGAAGTGCAACTTTCACAACCAAGCACAAGTTTGCCATCTTCTTATTTCAATTCCTCCCATTGCTGTCTAGTGTTGTGTGCATTGCATCAGAAGGTTTTAGAATCTGCCAAGTACTCAGACTTTATATGGAATTAACCCAATAAATGCCATGACTAGCTACTGAGGAAAACACTGGACTGTCAGTTATGGATGAAGCATAAAACCAAAGCAGGAAATCATTTTGAATGGTACAGCTGCATGCAACATTTTAAGCTCATAAACTGTCCATCTGCACACCCACATGTATGGCAGAAGGCAAGATTTGTTGGGGAGGAACCATGGTGCACTCAGACTGCAAACAGCAGGGAGAGATTTTCTCATTCAGAAATGGAGAATGATTCATTAGGTTTTGATTTAGTTAACATCAGTTCTGAAATTATTGCAGGCATTTAGGTCAGAGTTCAAAATTTAATGCACAAAAGCAGGCAAAAGGATGACAGATTATGATGACATATTTGGGATATTTCAGATTGCTTTCCATATAGTTCCTAAAAAAAATATTGGGGACAGTTATGCAACTTGAATTAAAATGTCATGCTATAATTTAACTAATTTATGAGGCCATAAAAATCTCCAGCAAGCATGTGGGCAATGAGGAAGTACTTCATCAGTGTCACGGATGGATGGTGAAGCGATAGCTCCCCCAATGGCCAGAATACCCTCATGAAAAAGTTGGAATGTTAAATAGCCTCTGTCTGTCTGTCTATATATGTTGTGTGTCTATGGCATTAAATGTTTGCCATGTATATATACATTGTAATCCGCCCTGAGTCCCCTGTGAGTGAGAAGGGCGGAATATAAATACTGTAAATAAATAAATAAATTTCTTCATAAAAATGAATCCTAAAAAAGCTATTTATTTATTAAATGCTGAGGGCCATATAGTATTTGTTTATCATTTCCTAAGTGCATCTTCTGTGGTGAATGATGGATTTTTTTTAAAGAACCAACCTTCATATGAGGTTTCACAATCTGAAGTTTCAGATACATTTCTAGAAATGTTCTTCTCAGTTGCAGAATGGTAATTTTGTGAATTCAGAAATCATAGACACAACTTGCCTTTCTCAGTTTTCTCAGGTCCCTAGATTTAACATTGGCATGTTTTATTTTTATTTCCATAGATCATTTACCTCAATCAGAAGTGAGCTGATTCCATATTTGGTTAGAAAGCAGTTTTCCTCTCCTACACCATTACAAAACACAAACGACCATGACCAAAAGAAGAAGGACCAGAAATCATTAGGTTAGTGCAAAACAGTGGCTCACAGGTCTGCCTCAGCACCTGGGAAGAGACTAAATGTCATTTTGAGACTATGTGGTGTAGTAATTGCTTTGTATAATAAATATCAAATCCAGTAGTTTTATTCTGCTTGTCAGACATTTTTTTTCCAAACCAGTCTGCATCAGTTTTCTAAAAATCCATTTATTCCTTGTAATAGGCACTACACATAAATGGAAGAAGAACATAGGCTTGGCCTTCAGACTTAGAGCCTATAAACAAAGTCACACAAGAGTTATTGGAAAAGTAGAGAAGGGGCATCAGAATGCCAAATCCAAACCCCAAACTCATATTTAGAGAACTATGGTTTGTTACAGTAAACCAAGATCAAAATGTTTTTCCAAATTCAGGCTCGTTCAAAACAATCAGCTTAAGTGTTCTCCAGGTTCAGATTTCCCTAGTAATTATGATTTGTGTGAAAGCAGAAACTTCCCATTTTCCTGCAGCTGCACAAGAGGATGAAGCTTGTATAAGCTTGTTCATGTACTAGGAAAGCATGATATCGACTTACAACTGAGTAGACCTATGGTATTCTTCCTTGAAAGAATGGGGAAAGCACATTCTCATTGATTTCTGTTCCTTTGGTATGTGGGAAAACTAGTGTCCTTCTTGCTTCTGTAGTTCCAGGGGAAGTTTCAATTAGATCAGACCATTTTCTGGTATTTGGGAGGGGGTAAACTCCCCGCAGCAGTGGATTAAGTCAAGCTGTGTTTTGCTTGCCTTGATGTTTACCCATGAGGGAGGAAGTATTCAGTGCCCTTTGTTCCTCTGAGTAGTGACAAAGAGATGAACATTAGCCTCCCTCCTATTTATCCCTATACTTTGCAACCTAATCTTTTTCATACAGTGGAGATATGCTAGTCAAACCTCCATATTCGATGCGGTTGTGGACATAGTGAAAAGCTGTGAATTTTAAAAGGTTGATTTTTTTTAAAAAAATCCAAAAGACCACCTTTCTAGAAATATTTAAGTTCTTTAAGATGCCTGCAAGATTGGCTTCTTGCAGAAATATATCCATAAAATCACATTTGATGACCTACAGATGTTTAGAGTGAACATTTTCATCAAATCTGTGAATAATCAAATCTACAAAAGTCAAATTTGCAAATGTGGAGGGCCGGCTGCATATCTTTTCCCAAGAAAGCATCCTGAAAGCAACAATGTAGAAAAGAATGATGTTATGTTCTCTCTAATATCATTTTTGTGTCTTCCCATATTTTGCAGACATTTATAGCTTCTTGAAGGATGATAGTTTGTTCGAATTGGGTTCAGACAAAACCTGCTGGAACAATCGCAGAGGAGACATGGATGAGGCATTCCACGCTGGAAAAGTTTGTTGCTATGTTCATATCATGAATGATGATGGGTTGTGCTATCGAGTAAACACACTTGGGCTGTATGTTGAAGCTAACAGACAGGTAAATGAAATAATAACAAAATAGCTTTCAGCATAGAACAGGAATTTCTTCATGTTTGTCTAACAGAGTCTTTAAAAAATTATAGAAATGTTCCTTCCCACTGAGACTGAGAATACCTATACCACTGCCGTGCTGGTATCATTGAGGAAATATCTTGGGAAGAGGCAAAAGCTCTCATAGTTTGAGGTTTATAGGAATAAGAACTTTGCAGATCATAAATCTAAGCTGAGAGACCTTTCTGTTGATGGAACCAAGGCCTGTGGGGCACTATAGTCCTATCAGCCAAACACCTCCACTCCTATCTATTCCCTCTCCAGATAGGTTTTGGGTAGGTGGGAAGGATTGCACTGATATTTCTCTTGCAGGTATCATCATCTGTCTGAAATCTAAAATTTATGGACCCAGAATTATTGCCAATATTATTTATAAATGTAGTAAGAAAGGTGGCCTCCAGCAAAGGATCACCGCCTTGTCGGGGCGCTGGAGCTTGAGCACCTCAATGATGTCATGAGCGAAACCGTGAAGGGCTACCCAAGACGGGACGGTTGTGGCAGAGAGGTCAGACCAAGCGTGATCCCTGGGGAAGGCAATGGCAAACCACTCCAGTATCCTTGCCAAGAAAACTAAATGGACCAGTACAACCAGAGATATGTCGGTATGCCATTGGAAGATGGGACTCCCAGGTCGGAAGATGGCCAAAATGCTACTGGGGAGGGGCAGAGGATAAGTTCAACTAGCCCCAGATGTGGTGACGCAGCTAGCTCAAAGCCGAAAGGAAGGCTAGCGGCCGACGGTACTGGAGGTGAACGACGAATCCGATGCTTTAAAGATCAACACACCATAGGAACCTGGAATGTAAGATCTATGAGCCAGGGCAAATTGGATGTTGTTATTGGTGAGATGTCAAGACTAAAGATAGACATTCTGGGGGTCAGCGAACTGAAATGGACTGGAATGGGCCACTTCACATCAGATGACCACCAGATCTACTACTGCGGACAAGAGGAACATCGAAGAAATGGAGTAGCCTTCATAATTAATAAGAAATTCGCTAAAGCGGTGCTTGGATACAACCCAAAAAATGACAGAATGATCTCAATTCGAGTGCAAGGAAAGCCTTTCAACATTACAGTGATCCAAATATACGCCCCAACCACAGCTGCTGAAGAAGCAGAAGTAGATCAGTTCTATGAGGATCTGCAGGACCTACTGGAAAATACACCAAAAAGAGACATTATTTTCATTACAGGAGACTGGAATGCCAAGGTGGGAAGTCAAATGACAACTGGGATCACAGGCAAGCATGGTCTGGGAGAACAAAATGAAGCGGGACGCAGGCTGATAGAATTTTGCCAGGAAAACTCGCTGTGTATAACGAATACTCTCTTCCAACAACCTAAAAGACGGCTTTATACATGGACCTCACCAGACGGTCAACACTGAAATCAGATTGACTACATCCTTTGCAGCCAAAGGTGGCGGACATCCATCCAGTCGGTGAAAACAAGACCTGGGGCTGACTGTAGCTCAGATCACGAAGTCCATATTGCACAATTTAGAATAAAACTAAAGAGATCAGGGAAAATACACAGACCAGTTAGATATGATCTCACTAACATTCCTAGCGAATATACAGTGGAAGTGAAGAACAGATTTGAAGGACTAGATTTAGTAAACAGAGTCCCAGAAGAACTAGGGACAGAAGTCCGCGACATTGTTCAGGAGGCGGCAACAAAGTACGTCCCAAAGAAAAAGAAAACCAAGAAGGCAAAATGGTTGTCTGCTGAGACACTGGAAGTAGCCCAAGAAAGGAGGAAAGCAAAAGGAAACAGTGATAGGGAGATATGCCCAGTTAAATGCGCAATTCCAGAGGTTAGCCAGAAGAGATAAGGAACTATTTTTAAATAAGCAATGCATGGAAGTGGAAGAAGACAACAGAATAGGAAGGACAAGAGCCCTCTTCCAGAAAATTAGAAACATTGGAGGTAAATTTCAGGCAAAAATTGGTATGATAAGAAACAAAGATGGCAGGGACCTAACAGAAGCTGAAGAGATCAAGAGAAGGTGGCGAGACTATACAGAAGATCTGTATAGGAAGGATAACAATATCGAGGATAGCTTTGACGGTGTGGTGAATGAATTAGAACCAGACATCCTGAGGAGTGAGGTTGAATGGGCCTTAAGAAGCATTGCTAACAACAAGGCAGCAGGAGACGACGGGATCCCAGCTGAACTGTTTAAAATCTTAAAAGATGATGCTGTCAAGGTGATGCATGCCATTTGCCAGCAAATATGGAAAAACCAACTTGAAGGCGGGAGACTCCGCTACCTGGGGGGTCATCATCCCCACAACAAAAAAGGGAAATGCGAAAGACTGCTCAAACTTCCGTACAGTGGCCCTTATTTCTCATGCCAGTAAGGTAATGCTCAAGATCCTGCAAGGAAGACTCCAGCAATACATGGAGCGAGACTTGCCAGATGTTCAAGCTGGGTTTAGAAAAGGCAGAGGAACCAGAGACCAGATTGCCAATATCCGCTGGATAATGGAGAAAGGCAGGGAGTTTCAGAAAAACATCTATTACTGCTTCATTGACTATTCTAAAGCCTTTGACTGTGTAGATCATAATAAATGGTGGCAAATCCTTGGTGGGATGGGCATCCCAAGCCACCTTGTCTCTCTCCTGAGGAATCTGTACAAGGACCAAGTAGCAACAGTCAGAACTGACCACGGAACAACAGACTGGTTCAAGATTGGGAAAGGCGTACGGCAAGGCTGCATCCTCTCACCCAACCTTTTTAACTTGTATGCAGACAGAACACATCATGCGATGTGCGGGGCTGGATGAATGCAAGGCTGGGGTGAAAATTGCTGGAAGAAACATTAACAACCTCAGATATGCAGATGACACCCCTCTGATGGCCGAAAGCGAGGAGGAGCTGAGGAGCCTTCTAATCAAGTTGAAAGAAGAAAGCGCAAAAGCCGGGTTGCAGCTAAACGTCAAAAAAACCAAGATTATGGCAACAAGAATGATTGACAACTGGAAAATAGAAGGAGAAACCGTGGAGGCCGTGACAGACTTTGTATTTCTAGGGGCAAAGATTACTGCAGATGCAGACTGTAGCCAGGAAATCAGAAGACGCTTACTTCTTGGGAGGAGAGCAATGTCCAGTCTCGATAAAATAGTGAAGAGTAGAGACATCAGACTGCCAACAAAGATCCGCCTAGTCAAAGCCATGGTATTCCCTGTAGTCACCTACGGATGTGAGAGCTGGACCTTAGGGAAGGCTGAGCGAAGGAAGATCGATGCTTTTGAGCTGTGGTGTTGGAGGAAAGTTCTGAGAGTGCCTTGGACTGCGAGAAGATCCAACCAGTCCATCCTCCAGGAAATAAAGCACGACTGCTCACTGGAGGGAAAGATACTAGAGACAAAGTTGAAGTACTTTGGCCACATCATGAGGAGACAGGAAAGCCGAGAGAAGACAATTATGCTGGGGAAAGTGGAAGGCAAAAGGAAGAGGGGCCGACCAAGGGCAAGATGGATGGATGGCATCCTTGAAGTGACTGGACTGACCTTGAGGGAGCTGGGGGTGGTAACGGCCGACAGGGAGCTCTGGCGTGGGCTGGTCCATGAGGTCACGAAGAGTTGGAGACGACTGAACGAATGAACAACAACAACAAGAAAGGTGGCAAGATTATCATGACAGGTACATTGGCAAGAACTTGGGATGTAATTTCTCCATCTTGGCTACATGACACAGTGGAAGGGAATGACCAAAGATTGCTGATACTATTAAAGGATGCTGTGTTTGTATATAAATAGAGATAAGCATAGCTCAGAATGTTTTTCTGCCACACCAAAGGAGAGACTAACTGCAAGTCCTATTTATAGTTGACAAAAGACCTTAATTTACAGCAGGAGTGAAAGAAAGGATGTACTGTTAATACATAGTGCTAAGTTTTAGTTGAACGGAAAGGAAGTCTATACCTTTTAGGAGCCTGTTCAAGAAAAGGCCGAACTATGCCAAAAACAATGTGGGGTTTTGTCTGTATCCTCTTTAAACATGTTTTAAGTAGTTGAAACATTTGGGATCAGTGGTAATCCTAGTGAATGTGTAAATCCTCACTAGAGTCTCAGTGGTCAAAGATGATTTTTCTTGAATGATTAACTCTCCAGGATGGTAGCATTAGAACAGCATTTCTGCCTAGGTAAAATGCTACAAGAAAAACCAGTGAAATTTTCTTAAAAAGAGGTGCATATTTTTGAAAGTCTGATATGGGTCTTTTCCTCCACATCTTCCAGTACTGCTACAAAATACTGATTGTGTTTTTATCACTCTGTTTTTTCCCTTCCATATCTCTTTTGCTATTTTAAGGTCTAACACTAAAAATACTCCCTCCCTCATGTAGGTATATTTATCCATTCTGGTTGGTTATGAGCCAGAATTACATAACTGTATTCTAAGGAAAACCAATCAAAGTGAGGGATTCATTTATCAAGCAGAACCCTTGTCTGTAGCATTATTCTTCAAAGTCTATGTATTTTAACAAGTGTCCACCATTTATTTACAGAATATAGGAAAGTGATTGAAATAGCTGTTCTGTAAGTTGTACAAATGGGTTATGATTTGCTGTAGATTCACCATGTGCGCACAGACCACGACAGTAGATGTCATGTGGGTGTATGAACATAACATGCACTTTTCATTTGCAATTTGTGAATGCTTCTGGAACAGAAACAGAGCAGCAGCTTACCTTCCAGACTTTGTAGCCAGGAAATGTCTTACTTGTTTCAGCTGACCTCTCAAGTTTGCCACTGCCTTTGTGTGGGCAGGTGGCAGCAGGCGGGAGTAGCTCTGAGAACAGGAAGTATGTTTCTTAAGAAAAAAATTACTAAAAGCTAAGCTAAACCTCCCCTTGACCCTAGCACTCACCGAAAATCCTGCTCTCTTTCATCTCTCTCTTTTTTCCCCTGTGTAGCAACTACTTCTCTCGGATCATTCATGCTGTAGTAGGCTCAAATAATTTAAGAAAGGGTTATGCTCGGAATATATCTGGAAGCCATTTTTCAATACATCACACTCAAGACTGATGATCATACAAAAGAAACCTCCCCAGTACTATTGTGCATTTTCTAAAGCACTTAGAATTGAACTACTTGCATCATTAGTATGACCTGGTTGAGATACCCATATATCTAAGTTTCTTCAGATTGTTGATCATTCATGAATAGCCTCTCGATAGCAACAAAACAGTCTTTCAGAATATGTCAAGAATAACAAATACAGTAATAAACTTCCTGTACTTGAAACAGGGGGAAATTGCTGGTAGAGTATTCACATTGTATTTCTTTCTGTCTGGTTTTCATTGTTTTTCTCCACAATTGATTGTTGCAATCTAAATAGCATAACTTGAGTAGAAAAGTTTTACCTTGGTTGAATCTATTGGGATTTTTATCCCATTGCTATATCATTGATATCAGTTGCTTCCAATGTCCTGTTTAGTTCCTCCATGCAAGTACACAGTATAAAAGTTATGAAATCTCAAGCTGCATAAGGTGTTTAAAATCCCCCCCACCCCCAGAAGGAAGAAAGTTTATGGTGGAACAAATAGAAAGTGCAGGAGAGAAAAGAGTGACATAACCTCTTCCTTTCACCTCATAAGGTACTGCTAATGTAAATTGTTGTTCTTATTTTCATTAGAAAGAAAAAGTTACCGGAACCATAGGTTGCATGTGGTTTGACACAAAACTAAAGTCTGAATCCAGGTTCATGAGTTCTAAGTGAAAGCATTCTCTTTAGGCTGGATTTTATTTTTCTTCTTGAAGCATATTGCTCATTGTGTACTACTTGGCAACATGTTGAAGTTATGTTCATATTCTCTATAAAAGGGTTCATATATTTCTCTTCTTCATAATCTCCAGAACCTATCTAATCACTGCCTTTTATAATTCATCTTTGTGCACTTCTTTTTTAGTCACCTGGATATAATAATCTGTACATTTCTTGTAAATTATGTATGGGTACGATCATATAAAAGTAATTGAACACATTATCTTTGCCTATTAATTTGTGACTTTGGATGTCATTTTCCAGGTTCCTAAGATGCTGCCTTCACTTTGTCCAGAAGAATCTTTGGTTCACAGCACTGCACAAATCACTGACAAATTCCTGGTGAGCATCAATATCTGTAAATACATTTGGGATAGTAGGCTAAATCAGGATTGGTCACTCTCTGCGCTATAAAAACTTACATGTTTTAGATTTCAATATTAATGTCAAAAATACATAGTATGGTTTTACATAGGATCTGTGCTACATTAGAACAGAAAAGACAAATATTCCTTAAGTAAAAGAAACATTAAATATTAAATAACCAAAATAATAATAATAAGGTGTAAGCACTATACTCATCTGTGAATCTTCTATTGCAACACATCCAATGGCGTGGTTTAAAATCTGTATATAAAACCATCAGGAATTAGTATGTTCCAGTCTACTTTTGCACACTTTCCTTCTGTGTTAAATGTCTATGTAACAAGGAAGATTTTGTAGGCCTCGTTCACATTATCTTGTTGGTTAATGCTATGAGCAAGCCTCATTCCCTGTTTTGTAAGATTCGGGAAACTATGGTTACTGCTCCCAGAACAAGCTAGGATCTTAAGTCAACTTCACGTAGTTGTGTAAGATGCAGGGAAAGCTGATAACTGTCATTTTCTGGTTTTCCTGAAGCCGAAAGCTACCATTTCTTACACACACATGCCCTGGACGAATAGGAAAGTGGCTGCCTCTGTAGGCACAAGGCTTAGTAAAATTGCCTGAATCTAAGCAGTCTGTGTCTGCTATCCAAAATATTTTATTCTAGTCAATGTCTCTCCCAGCTGGGTGTATGCCTTTAACAGATATGATTTATAGGTAATATTTTTATTTTTAAATCAATGTTTATTCAGAAATAAAGGGGGGGGGGAGACAGAAAGAATACAAGAAAGTGATTTTTCATAGTATATTAAACTAAATCTATTATATCTAACAGCTGTTGGAATTTAAAAACCATATAAAGACCTATCTCTTCCGGCAGGCTTGCCCAACCAATTTTAAACTTGCATCTTTCCTGTCGTAGTCAACTATGAATTGCACACATGGTATTCCTGCGCCTGCGCAGTTCAACTTCGGAACCTTCTAGAATTAAAAGAAGACATTTTATGACACTGCCTGGCCCCGCCCCCCCCCCCCTCTCAAATATATATGGCCCAACGCGGGGCCAGGCCCCCTCAGTTCTCTTTATCCGCCCAGCGATTCAGCTAGAGAACCTTCTTCGTGATCGACTTGTAGGTAGACCATTGGTTTTTGACTCGGACTGGCTCTCGTCTCTTCTCTAAATCTCTGACCCGGACTGCATACTGACCCTTCTTTTGTTATCTCCTTGGCTGGCTTATCGACGGATCGCTCTAGTGCTAACTAGATGGCGACCACGTCTTTTAAAAAGTGCACCCAGTGTCCTAATACACTTCCGGACACTGATGGCCACTCGCTGTGTCTCGCTTGCTTGGGTGAAGCTCACCTTGCCCAGCCCTGCAAGATTTGCCAGGCCTTCACGCCCCAGACCCGCAAGAACAGGGTCTCCAGATTGAAGGCAGCATTGTACGAGAGGGCACTTCTCCCGCCAGCGCTGCCTGCCCAAGCCGCCAGGCTGATCAACTTACCTGGCTCTAAACCGTTACAACATGGTGGAACCGCCAAAAAGAAAGCCAAAAAGGCAAAGGATGGTGCCCTCCAAGATGGCAGCCTGGCTTCTTCAGGGCCCTCGGGCTCTAGCAAAAGGGCGGGAAGCGTGACAGCTGTCCACTCGCCTCCGACGCGCCTTATGCAGCAGCGCAGAGAGCAAGCGCCCCCTCTAGGGGTTCCGCAGCTCTCTCTTCAACAGCCCTCGACTTCGGCCCAGCCGCTCGGCCTCGCAAGCCTATTGACATCGGCGCTAATGTTTAATCTTTGTTCTGTGTATTGTGCAATGTATTTTGTAAAAATATGTTTTAATGTGTGTTTTTTGTAGAATGTTTTTAGATGGTTGAGTGTTTTTAGCAATGTAGTAACCCGCTTCAGGCCACAAGGAGAGTTAAAAATTACTATGATCATCATCATTATCATTATCTAGATCCAAGACAATCACTCTAAAATAGAACATACTAATAAACACAAACTAGACATGCAACTACTAGGACTACTATATTAATATCTCAGTCGTTGTTTTCATACGCCCTTTAAATAATGCTATATGTCCAGTCTTCTACTTTTAATAACACTTTTCTAATTCATACATACAGTAGTTGAAGTTTGCCCCAGTCTTTGCTGTAGAAAAGTGTATGTCTCAGTCTTTCTTAAAGTGAGTGAAGGATTTTCCTTGATCAGCATAATCAGTTTGTCCAGTTCATAGAGAATATAAATTGAATCGACATATCCTGCTGTATCAGACATTTAGCATTTAAACACAACAGATCACCATTTGTGACAGAGAATTTGATGATATACTTTTCTATCTCATTTTTCTGTTCACGTACAGATTTTAGGGTCATTGATAAAGGCCTTGACCAATACATGCACAATAAGTATTAGACATGACCACTGTTTAGAAATGAAACCAGTCTGGGCCTCCATTTCATGTCAAAATGGGTTGTTCTTCAGCTCTTCCTTATTGGGTTTGCTTCAGTTTGCCTAAGTATATTTATCTGTTGATTGGCCCACCAAGAACTAATGTTTATGGGAATGTCAAACAAAGACTGCTTAATGCTCTGCCAGATTAACTACATGCGGGGTATTTTGTTTTCTTGCTTGGTTTTGTTTTGTTTTGTGTGTTTCGTTCCCATTTATTTAGCACTGTCTATTCCCTTTTCCTCTCCAGGTTGGAACTGACAGCATGGTTGGTGCAGCTACACAAGTAGGAGAAAAGACTGCAATAAAACGCTCTGTGATTGGCACCTCCTGCATTATCAAAGACAAAGTTAAAATTACAAACTGCATCATCATGAACTCTGTCAGAATTGAGGAAGGGTAGGTGATCTTGTCAAATGTTTCAAGGTTTTATTCTGAATCATCACTAGCTACATCCCAAGCATGTTTTTTCTTGGATAAAAGCTGCTTCTTCATCTCCAAGGTGGAAAGCAGAATGACAATTGAGAAATAGTACTATACTGGGATTATAATGTTTCTAATAATAAAACTAATGTTGAAGAAGATTTTCATCTAGAGATAATATTGGTAGAGTAAGCAAAAGTTATTTGATACCACAGGACTGGAAAGGAACGTGTATAAAGCGAGTTCCTAGAAGTATTAGACCAGTTTCTTCTTCGTGGTCTCTCTGAAATCATACATATGGTAGTTTGTGCGCATGTGCAACCTCTGAACCTTCTAACAAGCTTTTCAGAGTCTTATGGCTATAGCCCTGCCCACCTTCCCTAGAAGGCATATAGACAGTGGGAGGGGCCGTAGACTCAGTTCCTTTTCCGCAGTTGCAGCAGCAGTGTTTAGGAACCTTAAAAAAAGAAAAGAAAAGCTTACCTGACATCGGACTGTGACAACAACTAATTTAGGCCTTTCACTTCATAACGATATTGACCATGGACCTCCCTGATTACTCTACGACTCCTCTGTGACCCTCACCAGATTGTTTGACTACCTTCGGGCCAGGATGTCTACAGCATGATTTAAAAATGTGTTTCTTGTGGAGGCAAGCTGCCTGTTTCAGATGAGCATACTTCTTATGTTTGTGGAAATCCCACTCTGTGCAGACCTGATCAGTTTGCCTCACCTTTACACTGCAAGCTCGTAAAAGCCATGAAACCCACTTGAAGGGTACTTCTTTGTAAGAAGGCCCTGCTCCGTCCCACACCAGTGGCTAGGCAAGCGGCTTCTGAATCGCCTGGCACTCCACATATCACAGCAGCCGCCTTCCCTGCGGCACAGCCGCCTAAGCACAAACATGCCAGGTCACCAGGGAGAAACACCAACCAGCGTAAGGAGAAGTGCAAGAAAAGGAAGGCCTTGAGCACTCACCGGGAAGATGCAACGCTGCTCGTCTCAGGTGGGTGACTGCCTGTGCACAGCCAGGTCCCCTCATGGGAAGTCCCACCTGTAACATCTGTCGTGGATGTGCAGCCACAGCTGGACAATCCCCTGCCTGTGCAGCACCTGGATGTGGCCTTGCTCCCTCTTGTGGAGGCAGCCCACCCACGGTTGGAAGTGCACGATGCTGCTCCTGTGGTGCCCTCCACAGCTATATGGAGGTGCAGCACCAGTTTGAGCATTGGATGTTGGCTTGATGCCAGTCCTGGTACCAGCTGCCTCCAACATAGGGCACAGGCAATCATTCTACTCACTCTCCCCCATTCCTTGGTGTCCAGGCATACCTCTCACTCCCAATCTAGGGCGCCATCCCTTGGAGCAATGTTTTAGTCATCGCGATCCTGTACTCCTCCGTGATATTTCTCTGTATGAAGAAGTGTTCCTGGCAGAATACCAGCATCATGAACATTCGCCAACATAATATAGAGGACAGGATTTTGAAGGGCCTCATCAAGACCCAGTTCATCACAATTACAGCGACCACTCTCCAGGAGGAAAGGCATTTTTCTTTGGACTAAGACATTAAGATCGTCTGGGGAGGCCCTGCTCTCGATCCCGCCCGCATCGCAGGCGCGGCTGGCGGGAACGAGGGACAGGGCCTTCTTGGTGGTGGCCCCTCGGCTGTGGAATGCCCTACCTGTGGACATCAGACAGGCCCCCTCGCTGCTGGTGTTCCGGAGGAAGGTCAAGACTTGGCTTTACAAGCAAGCGTTTGGCTAAATAGTGCAATGGAATACAGGAAGATGGTACAACCGAACATAGGAATTGGTACAAAGGATTATGATTACAGATTCTGATTTGTTGCTGAGGCGCTACGATTATGATAATGATTGTTTTTTGACCTTGTATGTCTTGCATAATGTGTTTTAATTGCCTGGATATTGTTGTGATAACTTGTATTATGTAAACCGCTTTGAGTCGTCATTTCGGCTGAGAAAAGCGGTATAGAAGTGAAGCAAATAAATAAATAAATAAATAAGATCTGCAGCGCCTGGGCACTCAGCCTCCCTTGCTACAGGGGACAGGGCTCGCAATGGAAGAATATTGGTGGGCTCTTCCAAACATCTGTAGTTAAGTCTGTGTTTTTTAATTGGTAAACAGTGTTGCAACACCTGCCGCTGAAACTAAATTATTGGGGGTGATAAAATGAGAAGGAGCAATAGAGAACTCTTATTTGTGGTTTGAGCTAATGTAATCTTCTGGCTAAGATATTAAACTTTGCTTTCATGAAGGACTTGCTCAGTGGTTTTATGCGAGACACTGATTTTCAATCACCATGTCCAAAATGTGGGAGTGATGTTGATTTAGATAACAGAGTTATTGTATACATTGTAGAGAATATGGTATACATTCTGGTGTCCTATACAAATGCTAAGTGGAATAATGTATTGTTTTCAGTGTAAATGACACACAGGAGATGTTCTCAGAAAACAGGGATTTTGTCAGTCATTATTTCATTTCTATACCATACTTCTGCCTAAATTATAGCTATTCTTTGAGGATTCCACATCCCATTTACATGACAGTTTCCTGTGGGTATTAGTAGATAAGAAACCTTTCTTGACCTCTCGCTCATAAATCCTTGAAATTGGCTAATTGTTCTCATGGAAGTGATGAGAAATGTGAACTTGGCTCTTGCAGCCACATGCTTGGATGAAGGGGAGGAAGCACAAAATGTAACTACAGTAGAAGAACTAAATTATAGGTGAGTTTGGTGTACTAAACTTTGGGTTATTGTGAGCACATACTAAATCAGAATCCCTTAACTAAGCAATGATAACCTAGTCAGAAGTTAATTTGTAAATTGATTTCATACAGTTTTGCAGTTACAATGAAAATGAATTGTTCTTGATGAATAGTACTCCCATTCTATTGTTTTATCTCTTTGGTAAAAAGGAAAAACTTACAACGTGGATTTTCAAATAATATCTATTATCTTTCTATATCCAATTCATTATCCTCCTTTTGATCAAAGACAGTTCCTATTGCTTTGGATTAACTGCATAGCAGGATTGCTGAAGTATTTGTTTCTTATATTTGTGTTCCTTCTTGAAAGAGATCTTTAGCAAGGCAATTTACAGTACTTCCTGAAGTAAATAAGAAGATGCTCTCCACTTTTCTTTCTTAATTTTGAGTGCTAATGGCCCACTCCCCTTGCTCTTGAATAGTTAGCAGATCTCGGTAGTCAGATGTAAAACAATGATACTGTAAGTTTAGATGCCCAGGTGCTCAAATCTCATTTCATTGTGGTGGTAATGTGCAGCGCTCATGCAGTAATTGTGCACAGACATACAGCTGTACAACTCAGTTATGTTTACTTTCATGAAACATGTAAGGTCTTCATTGTTGCATACCTTCAAACAATTTCCAGTATATGGCAACCCTAAAACAAACCTAACACAGAGTTTGTTTGTTTTTTGCAAGATTTAGTCAGAGACAGTTTGTTGTTGTCTTCCTCTAAGGCTGAGAGAGTATGACTTGCTCAGGCTTACCCAGTACCTTTCTGTGGCCAAGTGGGGATTCAAATCACTACACAACCCTTGCTCTCCCAGATCTTTTCTAGATTTTTGTTTGTATAACAGCTGCCCTTTGACAATGGATTGGAAGCAACTATGGTATAGTATTTAGGAGCAAATTTGAGCAAGACTGGGTTTTAGTGAGGGAAGTATGTTTTCAATCTACTAAAATTTAATGTATGTTAATGTATGTTAAAAGAACTAGATAGTTCCAAAACTGGAGATGGACTGTGGTAGCTTACTCATGTATGCTTTTCCTAGCACTGGTACATTCTGTGGAGGTTTTGTGTGTTTGTTTTGTGAGCTGGAATATTCAATGAAACATTTCTGGTTTTGACATCTAAATGGAATGGAAAAACCTTTGGGGTGCTTAGTTGATAGATCAGTGCCTTGTTGATAGGAAAAGTAGATGTCTAATCACATGCTCAGTCAACTTTTTGAAAAGGTGTGCTGTTAGTACTTGCCATTATGCCGTGCAATTTATAATTATTAGATGTTTCAAAATCTTCATGTTGAAGTATTTAGTCTGCTGTGATAATATCAGAAGAAAATGTGGTGTTTTTTGGGTATGTACAGTCCAGTTCTTACGTTGCTGAACTGCCTTAGCATGCACAGTGCATCTGTGTGGTTAGCTTGCCACATGAGAAATTTTCAAATATTGTTGGATGTCATCAGACTAAAACTGATGTCATTGGTAATGGGAACATGTTTGGCAGGATCCCTTCTCTTATTGTATGATTCATTCAGTTTTATTTTTGAGCATGTTACTTAAATCTTAGATGTTGTTGGCTACATTCCCATTCCCAGAAGCCATCATTTCAAGCTGGTTCAGTTTGCATACAGAGTGTTTGCCTCTGGGTCCACATGGCTAATCCATTATGTTAGAGATACTAAAAGACAAAATCTAACAAAGTGCTTTCTGAGCCAGGTTTTGACATGTGAAGACATGGAGTGCTTGCATATGAATATCCCTCTGGAAAATCAATGAATGAGTGACAACTTCCATTCATGTATTTTTCTTGGGCTTTTTTAGAACTATCCAACTATCCAAATGCACAGTAGACCCTTTTTCATGTGTAGAAGCTCATTCGGTGTCTCATATTGAACCAAATAACCTTTAATAACTTCTTAAACACATTAGTTCTTTATCATGGAACCATGTAGAATCTCTGTACAAGTTAGTACTTCTGTGGCAATGGGGGAACCTCCTGTATGCATACTGTCATTCTCTGACACTCACCTATACACCTGTTACAGAAAGAGCATATTCTAGTATGCTATTCACAAATAATAAACCAGGATTCCTCTAGAATCTTGGTTAATTGTATTGTGGAAATCAGACAAATATGTGAGTCAGATGCTCCATGCCAAATCATCATCACACAGCAATCTCAGTCATGCAACTTTCTCCTC